TAATAAATGCCACTTTCTACAACTTCTTGATCTGAACCTGTAACGAAAATTTAAAACATGTGTTTTGTAGATTTATGTCAGTTATATACATGCTGAAAATCGAAGAATCTTTAGATTTATTACAGTTATAGGCTGAAAATCGTGAAAAATTCCGATTTTTACAATTTTTAACCGTTTGTAACTTACGACAACGTTAATCGATTTCAATTAAATTTTCAGCATGCGTGCAACTGACATAAATCTACAAAACGTACGTTTCAAATTTTCATCACAAACTCAGATAAAATAAATTGTAAAAAGTGACATTTACTATTTTCTTGTCGCAATTTTCTCAAAATTTGCTATACACGTCATCCAGAAAACTAATCTCTCTAACTTCTCGAAAAAAAAACTCAAATCGTTCGGTAAAATTTCAAAAAAGTTTACTAAAGAATATTAATTCGAGTAATTGTATCTATTCTTGGGACTCTTATAAAATAGCGCAAATAGAGGATATATAATAACTTGGAAAGTTTTATTTTCATATTTATAAGTGCACTTGGAAGTTGTACAGACTCGACAAAGAATAAACAAAGAGTTGGTCGGAAAGCAGAACTCGTGAACTCTGCGCGACGCGATACTAAAAGAAGCGTGAGAGTAATTAAAATAAAACGAACAATAAATCAAAGGGTATCCTTTGTTCGATCTAGTTGATTGAATGGCTCAAAGCTTCCCGATTCTGGACGGATGAGACCGAAAATGCTACTAATCCGTAATTAGATCAGGGTTACGTAGTCCCATGAACGAAGATCGACCGAATGATGATCGAACGGGCGATGAAAGAGGATCGAGGATGCTCAAGTTCCTTTTCCCCACTGTCAGCCCGTATAAAAGTCCGAATGTGTCGATCCAGCCGACACAACTGTGAAAGATCGCTGGTGAAAGACGTTCCTCTTTACGTCTACCTTTTGGACTCGTACCCTCTCGGTCGCCGCGAAAATCAACGATGTTGCTCTACCTGGTGAGTTGTTCATTTTCCTCGCCGTGACTTTTGCACAACACTCCGGTCCATTCATTTCAAATTTTCCGACACGGATGCTCATTCGGTTCCTCAGACGTTCAACCTTGTTTCGGCTAAAAGTGTGATCTCGTTCCCTCTTTTTTTTCTCAAACACGGCGTTGAAAATTCGACGTCTCTGAAGCACAGTTCTCAGATTCTTCGACGTGGATTCGTGATAAATTTCGAAAACGTTCTTACGTTTAAAACAGTGATTTGTTAATGTACAATTGGACAGTGTACAGCGGAAGTATTTGTTCAAATAAGGATAATTTCTTGGTTCCTGTTTCGCTTTCTTACAACTGTGACTCACTTGTTCAGAATCTGTAATCCGTTTCTTTGCAAATCGTCGTTTCGAAATGATCTCGTTCGATGTTTAACCTATGCTTCCGGGTATTCTGTTTACTTGAGAAGCGTCTCTGATTCGTTTACGAGTTACAATTTCAAATTCGATTTTCTTAATTACGATTTCAGTTCTACCGCCGCGGATTTCAATTTTACGCGATAAGTTGATCGATTGATCTGTGACGATTCGTTGAAAGCTTTTATGAAATACTATTCATACGCTCTATCTCTGTGATAAAATGTTACAGTAAAGTTTTCATAATAGTTAATATCTGTGATTGATTCGAAATTGACGATTACAAATTGAATAAAGTGGACGAGCGTTACTCTCTTCTCTGTACTCAGTTTTATTTCAAGAAAGGGAACATTGAGGACAAAGTACGTAATTCAGGGGAAACAAGTGCGATGAGTGTAAAATAATAATTAGAAATTTGAACGGAAATATACAATGTAAAAGAAAGTGTTAAGTTAAGAAAATAAGCGAGATTTCAAGGAAAAGTAAAGAAAAACAAACTAAGGAATAAAGTGCAACACCGAAAGTAATAATCGAAGATGAAGCAATGCATGCTGAAATATAAAGTAAGCACATTAAGGAGAATAAAGCGAAAGAGGAAAAACTAATAATAATAAATATCAATGTCACATAAAGTTATTATTGTTAGGTGTTAAATTTAAAATTCCAGGCACTAAATGCGTGAGTCCAGTCGCATGTTGCATTAAATAGAATACAAAACGTAGAGTGAGAGAGGAAGAAAAGTAAAAAGGAAGGTGCACGCAAGAATGAAAATTTGCTTTATTCGAGCCAGCTAATGATTATTCATGAGCTGCTAATGATGATTAGCGCCTAGCTTCATTTTCCGCTCCGAATCTACCGAGATTTAATTAAACGTAACATTTTGTTTACGTTGCTGTGCCACTTTTCACTTTAAGTAATCGCGTTGATATTCCATCAAAACTTCGTACAAAATGCAATATTACGGCAAAAAAAAAGTGATAATGGTAAATCGTGTGCGCTACAAAAATCAAAAATAAAAAAAGTCTGATATGCTGGAGGAACTTAATTAAACGAAGTCAATAGCGTTGATTTAAGTAACTTCATACTGAAAAATTGAATTGATATTTGAATGAAAAATTGAGGAATTGATATTTGATCACTATGTGCGTTCAAATTTCATAATTTGTATAATTGAAATAATTAGTATAATTTAGTAGAACTGACGAAGTAATTCAATTCTACTAATACTAAAATCGAGATATCGTAATTCGGTCATTCCTTCAACAATTCAATTAACTTTGGCGTAACTAAGTTTACCGTGTATATCACAATATGGTGAACAATTCCAAAAGTGATGTCGCTTTCGAGGAAATGCACCAACAGTAAACGCTAACAGATCTCTTTTGTACGATTCTTCGTTTTAAACACGTGGTGCATGTGCATTTAACTTTGAATTTGATCATTTCATCTTTTATATATCTTTTTGCTATTTCTTTGAAAAACGTGTAACAGAATTGTTACTATTTTATTTTGTAATATTATAATTAGTAACGCGTGACTTCTATGCTTTTAATTTTTCACGTGCTTCAATATCTATCAAATAAATTTTTATTCCTAAAAACGGGAACTCTACTTAAGAAACAATTGCAGATCTTGCTACATGTACCTGTTAGAAGTTACAGCATCGTCGTACTTTAAGTTTCATTACCCGTGAAACTGCTTCAATTTTCAGTGCTCACGTTAGATCGTATACAGCAATAATAATGTAAGTAACTGTAGGACATAAGATAAACTTAAATTAACATTTACGTATTGCTGTTTAAAAATTTAGAATAATAATAATTCAAGTGAAACGGTAGTGTATTTAAGATAATATGAATTGCAATGACACAATTTAAAGTATGACAAGTCTCGCTAAAAATATCGAAATATGAATTTCAATGAAAGCGTACTTAAATTCCGTAACAGTTGAAATAGTTTATTCCCTTGTGGGTGTCGATTAAACACTTTGCAGTTTCTCTTGATCTTGAAAACAGAGAGACGGGTGGAATTGTGTACGGATTGTCAGGCGCATTTAGATCCGCTACGATGCCTGCAGCGATCAAACGTAACTTCCGCACAGAAACCACAGTGTGATATACTTTTCAAATACAGACACTTAGATGATCAATGATTGTACACAGAATACGCTGCTCGCCAAAAAAAATTGCAACACCTGAAAATTGAGGTTGCAGAAATCTAGAAATCTCGTATATTTTTCGGGCTAATCTGAGGAAAAGATGACCTCTTTTTCAATCATTTCTCCCTTTCAATACCCCGAAAAATATAATGCAAATTTCAGATTTGTGCGATTTCATTTTTAAGGTGTTGCAATTTTTTTGGCGGACAGCGTATATTATTTATAGTATCACAATTAGAAAACTATCTTTGAGCAAAAGAAAACTTTCTTGCTGCCTTAATTGTTTCGAAAAAGAACTGAAATATCTTTGATTCTCTGAAGTGTTTCAGCCAACATATCCTTTGATTTTCCTTACGCAATTGAATCGTTTGTTTTCCGATTCTCTTCACGCGGGAGCACAACATTTACGAAAATACTATGTTACAATTATTATATAAATATTTATAAAGATAATAAAGTATCGATTGATAAAACAATGAACTGATTGAAAAAATAGCATGTAATGTGCGCAATTGAAAAATAATGTGTAACGGGTAACGCTTCGATAACGTTTCGATCGATAACACGTAAAAGAAAGCAGCCGATTAATATAGGGTATCCTTAGGTACGAATAAGGCGAGGAAAATGCGGTGAAACACTCGGATACTCGGTCCCATCGTTCGAAAGTAACCGAATAGTTTTCACGAAGAAAGTTGATCGTGTATTCAGCATACATACGACTACGTACTGCTTGGCCAATTTGTATACACATACTAGAAACCCAGAGAATGGATACTTCTGATTGTTTCGCAATCGATTTCCTAATTAAATCGCAACCCTTACGCAACTGAATCGTCTATTATTGAAAGGGTACATGTCCATTTTTCTTTTTTTTTTAGGAAATACTTGCTTTTGGCAGATCTGCGTTGCCACCGTAAAAATCAATTTTGCGTAGAAAAGTCACGTGTGCCAGCATAATAGCACGTTGAATAATAGACCTCTTTCTCTCTATGTGTACAGTTCATTAGCACTTCCAAGTTCCTTGGCTTTTAACGGAGCAGGAAATCCGATCGACGTAGTGAAAATTGAAAATATTTGAAAAGTGTTACGGTATTTCGTTGAATTTTATAACACAATCCTACATTGGTCAGTTACAGCTAATTATGACAGAAATGATTAAATGAAAAGTGTTAAAGTGTATTTTTTCAGTATTATTTCCTGTAACGATTACTTTTATCTCGAATATTCTTTATTTTTGTGTAATACTTGACTTGTTACTATTATTGCTAACATTGTTTTTCTGTTAGTAGATCTAAGCGTAGACATGCAATTTCTTTTAGCACGTAACAGATTTTATTGTTGAAAGGATATACACGTCCACATCATATTTTTGCCCATCTCCCTTTATTCACCTGTGAATGTTTAAATATGCGTAATATCAGTTTCTTAAAATAACCATCAGGTCAATGGTAATACACGTTACGTAAAACGTTACGTAAAAACATAAAAACGTACAAGATATTTCATAATTTTCGTAAAAGTGTTTCTTGCTGTACCTGTACAATGACAATTTTTCGACTTGTGCCCTTTCGAGATTGATTAATTCAGTTTCTCTCTTCTCCTTGCGATACGTAATGCAATTCAAAGGAAGTAAGTACATAAATACTTACTTGCACGAATCGACACCCACGTTTGATTTCTATGGGTCTTTTGCTTCCTGAACTATCTTCGACCAGTTCGCACGTCCACAAGGAGATTTCACTGCTCAACCGGTAACGGTACACAGCGACCGTTTCAGTATTTTTACCAACCGTGCAATTATTCTCGTATCTTTTCTTTCTCTCAACTTTAACCTTTTCTCTCGAAAGTGATCTGCCTGCACTCTCGATTGCGAAAGAGATGCAAGATTGAATATGCGCCTGTTCGACAAATGACGCGTCACGCCAGAATCTGTATTACGTTTAATCCTCCGTTGGTAACCTGGGTCATTGATGACCCAAACCAAATTTCACTCTTGTAATTCTTCGAAAAGAATTTTTATAAAAAAACGTTTAGAACATTTGACTTAACGAACGATTGTGTAATGTAGTAAAGACTTTAATAAGTATGTATCGCGGAAATTTTTCGGACATCTTTAAAGCCTAGAACAGTGAAAATATTAGATGTTTGCCTATGGAGGAATAATATGCTATACAGTGTGCATTATAGTGTCCCAGTTTTTTCCGATCAAACTTTGTCAGTATGTTCTATGGGTATAAGTAAGAAAAAAATGTTATATAAACATAGGTCATTTGAAGCTTTATTAAAAAGTTATAACAATAATACTGCGAATGTGAGGTTATGTTACAAAATAGGAATAAATCAGCGATATGTATATCAAGTCTGTTTGTGCAAGGTGTGCTTACGATCTAAGGTCGCTGAAGGTGTTGAATGTAAATAATTTGTGCCAGTGCCCCTCTTGGCTTGTATCATAGTAAACGTAAGTTCATTACCATTCCCTCCGTATTTCGTATTTTTGTCATAACTCTTTAGCATAGCTTCGAACGATCTATGTTTATATAACATTTTTTTCTTCTTTATACCCATAGAACGTAGTGACAAAGTTTGATCAGAAAAATTCAATCTTTCGAAATTGAAGTATTCCGACCTTCCGAAAAAAGTGAAGCTTAAGAAATGTTAACTTTGTTCGTCGTAAATAATCAATTAAATAATAAAAAAAATACTGTTCAATCGGTGTATTATAAATATACCTATCCTAAATAAAGTTTATTTTTAATTATGACAGATATTAAGAAAACTTCGATAATTTATAACACCTGCGTGTCCTTGAATCGTATGTAAATTTGCAATTCGATTCTTAAATATACTTTATTATATATTTAATTATACTTTCAGAAAAATGATCCCAAGTTTCAATAATTACAATTTTAAATCATTCAACATTTTCAAATTCACGGTTATTTGAAAAAATGCGTAAAACTAAAATTCCTCAGAAATTTTCGATCAGCTTCAATCCATGAGAACATGCAAACAAAAAGGGGAATATACCTTTCACAAAAGCCGATTATGGACACTCGTATAAACTGACGTATTATTTTTCCTGACAGTGAAATTTTGACAAATTTAACTTCCTATCTCAGATCGAGCAAGCAAAAGTCAAATCTGTCGAGCCCATCTAAATTAAATTTTGTTTCATCATTGAAAATAACCAAAAGCAGATGTTTTATTGAGAAAATATTTCATATATCTTACAGAAGACATACTTGCCTCAATTTTTCCATGTTTCCTTTGCAAAAAACAAAACAGCAGTCTTCCTTACTTGTGAGCATTTTTCAGTCTTCACATCCACATAAGTTTTCATCTCAAAGTTTAAAACAATTGAACAAATCTTACAGTACTTCTCGTTGAAAAGTTTAAAATTAAAGACTCACTATCAACGTCAATATAGACTTTATAGGATTAGAAATTACACGAAGTATATATGTAATTGCTGAACGTTTCTTTCTCTCGTGATTACATAAACCGTTTGGCAATGAAATTCGCAATAGTAGCTTTTGATTTGCTGACCTTTTTGTAATACATTTTCTGCCCTAGATACGAAGGATTTCGTATCATAGTCTTTTCGAAAGTTGTTTTCCACGAGGTATTTCCTCTTTAAAGCATTGCAAGTAACTTCACTAACTCCTAAATATTGAGAGAGAAAACAAAAAAGAAATTGTCTTATTGCTGCAAAAATGACAAGAATAACACAAGTTTGGTATATTTATGAAACGCTTAGAATTCTGTATTTTTACAACCAAAATTGATTATCTGTAAGTTTCTTCAATTTACATTTACAGCATTATGTAGATGAAATGCTAACAGAAAAAGTTAACACCGAAACATTTTCCATATATTTTCGAGTCACGGAACATTTCATTAAAGCGTAGTCAAAAAGTTATTAAATGCTTCGAGTAATATTTAAACGATTAATCATGAGTAGAATCGGTTCTCTTTTGTATAACTTCTAGAATCATGTAAGAATGTTATTTACATTAATATGAGATATTTGAAATAAAATACAATTTTAAAAAGCAACATTCAAATAATGTTTAATATTTTAAATAAAAATAGGGAATAATTAGTTTAGGATACAGATAGCGATCACTGTTTAGTTTAAATTCATTTCTCTGAAACATAATGAACAAATAACAAGGCAAGATAAACGAGCGGTGAAAAGCGTGGGTGCAGTTAATTAACGCATCTGAATGAAAACAATTACTCTAACGCATCATTTATATAGTAATTAATTAATTTTGATATATGAGGCACATCATTAATTTAATTTAACAATATTCGTTTATTAACTTTAATTACCATGGGAGATCTGCCGAAGAGAACTTTCGTGAAATTCATGAAAGTGCAATCGAATAAGTTATTCAATTAGTTTCATAATCAGCCAATAAGTATATAGATAATTGTACATCCTCTAGAAAACGACGCGGCAAATTCTACCGCGTAAAAGAGAAAAAAACAGAGCGAGGAAACTCGAAAGGGGAAAGCCAGGAGCCGAAAGTAAAAGTAAAAGGAGCTATTTATTTTTCAGATCTAGCCACTGGAAATAATTAGTGGGACATAATTAAACCGCCTTTGTTCACACCAGTTCCATTTTCTCTCTCTTTCCTTCGAAAACAAGTGTTCCTTCAAGGAGAAACTACGTGATAAATGTATTACAGATTACAACCAACAGAGAAAAAGGAAAACAGATTACTGAATTTATAGGAACAGATTAAATTTGGAATTTTAAGATTCCCTTCCTTTGCCACTGAAATTTTCTAAAATTTATCTGCAGCTAAAATTAGATCGTTGCCACTGCTAAATTTTCATTCCATTTACTCGATTGTACATGTCTCAGTTTAGCAGTACGAAAAATTAACTTAAGGTGTTTACAATAATGACTGACAATATAAATCAACTCTTGCATGACATTACGGTTCAATTGTATATGATCATTTGTTCATACACACCAGCAATTAATCAATGTGCACAATACTGATTAACACGTTCGCTGCTACCTGAAAATCGTAAGGTGTGTGCCGTGTGCCACCGATTTATAATCTCAATCAGGCATGGGACACATACATGCTGTATCAGCGTTCAACGGAGTATTTGGTTAAGGCTGTAAAACTTCGAATCGTCGAACTATTCTAATAATTTGGGATAATTTCAAATACGAATTCTTTGTTCGGATAATTCGAATCATTCGGATAATATCGAATACGAATTCTTTGTGCGGATAATTCGAATCATTCGGATAATATCCAATACGAATTCTTTGTTCGGATAATTCGAATAGTTTTAAATACGAATTCTTTGTTCGGATAATTTCGAATACGAATTCTTTGTTCGGATAATTCGAATAATTTTAAATGCGAATTCTTTGTTCAAATAATTCGAATAATGTCGAATACGAAGTCTTTGTTCGGATAATTCGAATAATTCGGATAATGTCGAATACGAATTCTTTGCTGGGATAGTTCGAACATTTTGTATATTTCGAATATTCGAATACATTATTTTGGGAAGGCAGGTCACGTTTAGTGCTATGGGTTTGAGATATATTTATTCCTAAGGCATCAGCAGCGACATAATCGATTTACTGCTATGCGTGTGCAAAGTAAGTATGTACATACTTGCTTACAGTTGTGAAATATATTAGTTCACTTTGTTACCAATATATTTCAGCACTTTGTTTACGAAATATTACGGGGGGTGATATTACGTGCTAAGCGATATTAGATACATTTATCCTATACTTTCGAAATTGCAGAGAAAGAAACAACAGAAAATAGAACGCAATTAACGGTCATAAACCTTTCATAATGCCAGTTGCTAAGCACGACGTGTGGTATTGCTACACTTGGAGTATTCATTTTGATTATTTGAAGAAAAACTAATGAAACAAAGCACACTGTAATCACTCAAAACGTCATAAATTCTTACAATTTTTTACATTTACGACCATATATACTTAACAAACCCATCTTACACAGACTCGACTCAACCCTACTTGAAATAACTTAATGTGGCACCTCGTTAAATTCGTCACAACAAACGCTATCATATTAGGGATAAAAAACATGGCGTTCCTTTTAAAAAAATTAACTTGGTTTTGAAAAATCTATTTATGCCACATAATATCCCTCTCTGTATCAAACAATTTTTATTAGAATATTAGTTTGATATCTTCAATCAGCGACGGTTTTGGGCTGTTAGCCGTCTGAGTGCTAGAAATATTTGGCGCCCTCCACCAATGAAGATCGTAAGCAGATTTATACACTAGCCTAACTCACTACACTAGTCTAACATTACCAACTAACTTTACTAACATAAAAATAGTTGATATATTTATTTTAATTATATTCTTTAAAGTGCACTATCGACCGCCCCAGGAATATGGCCACCTGCATGCATGCACGCACTGCATACTTATTAGAACCGCCCCTGTCTTCAGTTCCTTATGAAATATTCCAATTAAAACAGAAACCCTGCAGACTTTGTCTGCAAGACACTATCTTCTATTTTCCATCTCAACGGAAGACAAAATACAAACCATATCGGTCTACAGACTGCCTGTGGACAGTCTACAAACTCTGCAGACAATATCTGTGCGTACGAGGCATAAAAGTTCAGATGTGAGTCCAGGCGTTTTGTAATCATACAATCGCCACCACGTAGAACACCACTCTGATAAAGCGCTTAACAGTCTTAACTAAAATAATGCTTAACTAAACTGTTACTTCAAAATTTATATCGAGTTTATTCTCTTATTCTAATCGTACAATTTACTTCGAGGTAAATTTAAAATAAACAATATTAACAATTAAAGTGATAATTCTTGTTTAATTAATAGGAATCATAAATAAAAAATCACGCAATTTTGAA